ATTTAAGCAATAACTAAGCAATAGAATTCCACATTATTTCCATTGTGTCTATCCTGAAAACACTTGTAGACCATTGGGAAAGAAATTTTAAAAAAAAATACACAACATTAACCACATACACCCAATATCTGTATTTTAAATAGAAAAGAGTTGCTGTAAAGGCAAGTGTGAAATCATGGGCTGGGAAAAAAGACGTTAACAAGGGATGTCTGGGTTGAGATTGGAGAAGTATTCAAGAAATTTCTAGAAGATGTAAATAATAAGATTTGTAGTTTATTGTTTTAAATAATCCAAGAGAGGAAGTAGTCAAGGAATATTCTCACATTTATGAATCAGTCACGAATGGTATTGGCATTAATTGCAAAGGGGAACAAGGAACTTTTTGGGAGGAAAGATGATGAGTTCCATTTTATACATAATGACTTTGGGTTGCCTGTGAAATACTCACCTTGAGATGTTTAGTAAGCAGGTGGTTATTTAGTTCAGAAACTCATGAGTGTGGAGTGGCATAGAACATATATTTGGAGTGCTAGAATACATAGGGTAATTTAAGTCATGGGAGTAGATGAGGCTGCTTAGCAAGAGAGCATAGGCTGAGAAGAGAAGAGGCCGTGGGGAATGTCATGCCAACATTTACGGGTGGTTAGTGAAATGTAAGTGGGAGAGGCGACCAAAGAAGAGGAGCCAGACAGGTAAGGAGAAAAGGCAGAAGAGTATGGGATCAGTCAAGGTGTGGGGAAAGAATATTTTTAAAAGGATGAATTTATCGGTAATTTCAAATTCTAAGAGGTCAAGCAAAGTCAGGACTTAAAAATATCAGATCTGAAGAGAAGTTCATTGGTAAACATAGGAAAAGCATTTCTGTGGAGCAGAGGAAATTGGTGCTAGGATGGAATGAACTTAGAACTGTTTGTTGTTTTTATTTTGTTTCATTTTTAAAATGGAGAAGATGTGAACATACTTAAATATTGACATGAAGGCTGTAATACAGAATAAAAGTAATTCTTTATGAAGAATAAAAGCAGTGTATATGTAAAGATACAAGTCCCTGAGAAAACAGAAGAGTTTAAAAGAGATTAGCCTTAGAAAGAATGAGGAGCAATTCTTCAGTTGTACCAGAAAGGCAAGAAAGAAGGGGTAGGTATATTTCACAAATTTAGTGACAGAAAACTTCTCAAGTTCCAATGTAAGGGCTGTTATGTTTCTTTGTGAAGTGGCATACATCATGTCCTAAGAATAAAGGGGAAGACAGTGAAACAAAAATTTTGAGGACTGAGAAGATTTGAAATAGCTATTATGGAAAATGAGAGAGGAAGCTGAATAGAGAATGATAGAAATAGTCTCTACCTAATTTAATGATTTTCCTCCAGCAACACCCAGCAGCCCTGAAGCAGGTATGGAGCATGCAGACAGTAAGATTCCTTCAATTTTCCCAACATGGGGGTTTTGTCAGGAGGCTGTAAAGGAAAATAGTGCAAGAGAGTTTCAGGTTTTTAGCTAAAGAGTATGCAAAGTGATGAATCTAAACTGGATCGAGAAGAGACAACATGATGGATAGGGAGAGAAAGAGGAGAGAAAGTAGACTTGTGGAACCAGTGAAATTAATGGACAAGAGTGACAGGAGTAAATGAATTAACAACCTGGAAGGATAGGAGGTTGCAGTCAATGAGTGGAATATGTGATTTTCATGAGTTCAGAAGTAGAGAAGTTTTAGGAGATGATAAGATCTAGAATGTGGCTACAAAAGTGACAGTTTTGGAGCATTAGGAAGTTTTATGATGGTGAAGATGTCCAGTAACATAGAGACCAAGTTGTTGGCTACTGCAATCATCTACGTCCCAAATTTGTAGATGATGGCAAAATTTTGACTGAAAAGCAAACTGTGAGTCAGATAACAACATGAGTAAGGAGGCCTGATCAGAAGGAAGATGATATCTTGGGGAAGATAAGAGGATTGGTACAGCTACATAATATCAGCCTCAAAGAAGTGTTAATGGTGTTTGTGGTTCCTAGTCCTTTAAGTGCAAGATGTGAAAGTAAAGGGAGGAGACCAACTGATTTTCACAGAAAGCGATATTAATCGAGATAGCTAGCTTTGCACATACCGGGATAATTTGAGGCAGGAAAGAGCAGAGACCTTGACCTTGAATACATCCAAGAAGTAGTCATGAAGTTTTTGGCAAAGACAAATAGGTGAATTGGAAGGAGTGCCAGATAGAATCTCTAAAAGATAATCTTCTTTGCTGCTTATTGCATTGTATTTTTCTCTAGCTTAATGGACTCTTTAAGTCTACTTGGAAACCTGTAGATATCTGGATATGAATCAGAAGCCAGAACTATGACATTTCTCAATGTTTTAAGGATGGAGTAAAAGTGAAAGGAGTTATTATAGGTGGCCTAGTTATTCTGGTTGTATAATATAGAAAAATCAACATCTATTTGATGTACTCTGGCCATTGTTCCATGGACAATATACAGACTATATGAGTCTGCATATGGAGAACTTTGAAGAGAAGAATCTACCTACGAGCTGTAATTGCTTGATTGTCAGTCCATGGAGCTGGATTACCTCCATTATGAGCAAAGTGGCAGGCGTTGAAAGTTTAAATCACACTGGAACATGTAAATCTCTTATAAAATTTGAATAATGGTCTTCAAGTTGGGCATGGGAATAGTTTACCCATTGGACCACCCAGGCAACTTGGGTGGAAAGTGAAAGTGAAGTCACTTGTTGTGTCCAACTCTTTGCGACCCCATGGACTGTAGCCTACCATGTTCCTTCGTCCATGGGATTTTCCAGGCAAGAATGGACACATATTCTGTCGGCAGCAATAAACTAAAGCTATGACCAGATGTGAGTCTAAGAAAAGGTCCAGAGGACAACATTCAGAGTCATAACTTGGCCTCAGAGAACCACTGGGCTGCTTCTCAGCAAAGGCAGGTGTCTAAAGTCTCTACTATCATCTATTTCTTCAGGCATTAGCAGGAAAGCTATGAAATTTCAATGTACTTTGCTAATTATACTTGTCTGTTGTTTTCTTCTAATCCATTCTAGTAATTCCAATTGCGGTTGTGAACTTGTACAGAAGGGGTGCCAGATAGAATCTCTAAAAGATAATCTTTGCTACTTATTGCATTGTATTTTTCTCTAGTTTATTGGGATAGTCTATAGACTCAGACTCAGACTGCTTTAGGTTAAACTTTTTAGAAACTCAGAACAAGGGGAAGATTAACATGAAAGCTTGGCATTTCTGACTGCCTAATATAAATATCTTTATAATCGTATCTTTGAAAAAGAAGGCCCACTGTATTCTAGCACAGTGTGAATTTATTTATTTTGATTAATTAATATATTTATTTATATATTTATTTGCCTTTGCAGTTATCCCAGGCCAGAGTTATCAGACATTATGGTCACAGGGTCATTGGCCTCTGCTCCAGATGTTTAAAGGCCGTCTTTATAGCGAGTAGCTCTGCACTGGTGCAGGAAAAAAGGTTCCCCCATCCCAGTGGTTTTACAACAGGATAAGCTCTTTTGTGTTGGAGGCATCTGTTTCAGTGAAAAAGGGTTAACACAATAAAAGAAGTGTAGGATATTAGGAAAAGGTGATTAAATCAATTCTTGGATTTCTTGATAGCTAGTATTCCGGCTCGGATCCAGACAAAATCCATTTCCTCCTTGAAATAGTTTGATTGTGGAACAGTCTTTTGCAACCCCATGGACTGGAGCCTGCCAGGCTCCTCTGTCTGAATTCTCCAGGCAAGAATACTGAAGTGGGTTGCCATGCTGTTCTCCAAGGGATCTTCCTGAACCAGGGATTGAACCCAGGTTTCCTGCACTGCAGGGAGATTCTTTACTGTTTGAGGTATCAGAGTAGCCCTGGAGAATGATACCTGATCTGCAAATAACAACAGATCTCTGTATATCCTTGATGGACTTGAAAGTTTGCCATTCAGGGATATCAGATAGTTTTTGAATGTCTATTTCCAAGGTTTGCCATTCTTCTAAATGGCCCAGAATGGCCAAGGACTTAAATGCCTAATGTTTGTTTTTATGACTTGCAACTATACACTGAGTAAACAGCCTTGTTTAAATAGCCACAAATAATGATCATCTCCTCACTCAAAAACATCTTTTCCCCATTTATCTTCTTATTCTAAATATCTTAAAGTAAGCTCCCAATTCATACCTATTTTAGGGCAACATCCTAACTTGGTCTTCCCTGGTGACTCAGATGGTAAAGAATCTGCCTGCACTGCAAAAGACCTGGGTTCGATCCCTGGGTCAGGAAGATCCCCTGGAAGAGGAAATGGCAACCCACTCCAATATTCTTGCCTCGAGAATCTTATGGTCAGAGGAACCTGGCAGGCCATGGTCCATAGGGATGGAGAGTTGGACACGACTAAAGCGACTTAGCAGTTTCCTAACTTAGCTCTGGGCAATTGATGTAATATTTTTTTAACTTCTCCCCTGTGCTCTGTACAGTGGATTAAACCAACTTTCTAAAATCCCATTTTCCTTTATTTGCTTGTTTAAACACTTATATATTTCTCATGATTACCTCACAATAATCCATGCAGCTGGATCTTTGGAATAATAGGCATTTCAGGATTTTGCAAATGCTCCAAAAAATTAATATATCATTCATACATAGCTTTTTGTATATTTATGCCAACCAGAAAACAATTAGTTATGAAGCATTCTGTAACATCCACTTTTTAAAGGAAAATTTTGCTACAAACTAAAATGAAAGAAGCTTTAAAACTCCCTCAAATTTAAATTACAACACTTTGTTTAAGAGTCATGGGAATTAGTTTCAGAAGAGACTATTTCTAGGGAGAAAAATGGGGAAGATTACATATCCAATTTAAGTACTTTCTTGAGTCCATTTTTTAAATGAAATAACCTTTATAAATTAATTAAAAATCCAGTAACCATATTATTTAGATAACATGAAACTTGAGACTTTTTCTAATAAGATGCTTCTGCTTTTTTGTAGAGGAGGTCTGTCAAGAAGGCCTTATCAACGAGGATTAATGTGTTCTCAATGTGACGGCTATGACAGATGCACAGATTTTCTATGCAGTAAGCTAAAGAAAATAACTGAAACATGAAAAAATTCCATAATGCATTGAATGACAAGAAAATGAAGTGGCGAACACTAATCTTTCATTGTCATGTTAATATTGTTCCTTAGATCAGAAAGGTATTGTTATATTATCAGAGGTGGTATCAAACAGTATCATCTTTAGATTTTTTAAACTGCACAGCCTTTTCTGCCCTCTCTAACTCTTATTCCTGCCCCTAAGGACGTACTAGAATATCTGAAAGAAGGAATGAGAACTAACAGTTTTACTCTGAAGAAAAGCTTTCATCTAATTCCTGAAATAGCAGCCTGTTTGAGAATGACTGCTGTAAAGAATAGGATATTCTAAAACATTTATAAAAAAAGAAAAAAGAAGTAAAATAGCAAATGGTTAATATAATAGCCTTTTACTTTTGTTTTTCCCAAAAAATATTCAGAAGATAAAACTAGAAAATGTTTTATTAATAAATTTTTCTTTTCATTTTTCTAAATATGAGAGCATATAACCCAGATGCTTACAGGAATGTGGTAGGGAGTAAATTCAGACAGTAAATTCATACAGGGGCATATTATGCTTTTGTGTTAAAGAAACTAGTGAACAATTTCATTATAATGCCACTGTTGGAGTGATCCACTGTAACATTTCTTCCCTTGCTTCATCTGAATCAAGATGCAAAACCTTGCTCTTCCTCTTCCCTTTTTCTTTCTCTTCCTGGGAATATCCAGACCTAAAACCGTTGGGTAGGTCAGAAAGAGGCAGACATCCACACAGAGGGAGACATGTTGCACCTAAGCAAGAAGACAAGGAATTCGTACATGATGCGGTGGGCATGAGGAGACAGCCTAAGTGGGATGTGGAAAGCTAGAGCTCTCACAGGGTGAGGTGAGCGTGCCTGCTTGAGATCAGGCTTGGGACCCCAGATCAGAGTCATGGCTTGTCCATGCAGGCGTGGCTCACTGCACGGTGTCACAGTCCAGGCACGGTGGGGATAGGACCACCCGGGGTGGGAGGGAGACGCCTGTGTGTGTGTGGATCAGTCTGACCAGGTGGGGAAGGCATCCCTGGAGGTCTGGTCTGAACCTGTGTGGGAGCCCAGGCAGAAAGGGGGGAAGATTCACGTCTAGGGCTGACCTGAAGAGAGGTGTTAAAAAGGAAGCAGCTAAGGGGGCCTCTGCATTTGAGGGCAGTCTCCTCACACTAGATATCAGAGTCCAAACTAGGTGAGGAAGCTTTTAATGTTGGGGGAGGTGGCTTGACTTGGGAGGGGTCAGAGCCCTGGTGGGGTGAGAAAGGAATCCATATGTTGTAGAAGCCCAAAGCTAACTTTCAGAGTCTGAGCAGGGTGGGAGAGGGATCCAAGTAGAGGATCAGCCTGTCGCTTGCCAGATTAAATGCTGGGCATCCAGAGGAGGAGTGAGAGAGATGGACTGGGTGTTTGAGGTTGGTAGATGGAAGCTATACATTTAAAATAAATAAACAACAAGGTCCCAATGTATAGCACAGGGAACTATATTGAATATTCTGTGATAAACCATAATGGAAAAGAATATAAAAAATAATTTATATATGTGTTTAACTGAGACACTTTGCTGTACCACAGAAATTGGCACAACTTTTAAAATCAACTGCACTTCAATTTAAAAAATTTGAAATGCTAGGCATCCAGTTAAATTTGAATTTCAGAAAAACAAAAGTATTTTTAGTATAAATCTATCCCAAATATTACATAAGCTATACTTGTACTAAAACATCTCTGTTGTTTTCTGAAATTTGAATATAACTAGGCATCCTTTATTTTTATTGGCTGAATCTGGCAACTCTACTGCCCCAATGTGGAGTATCAGAGGCCAAGCAAGAAGAGGGAGCAGAAGCAGCGATGGGAGATTAGAAGCTTATTGGAAACTGAAAGTGAAAATCTCTATCTAACTCTAACTCTTCGCGACCCCATGTGGACTGTAGCCTGCCAGACTCCTCTGTCCATGGAATGCTCCAGGCCAGAATACTGGAGTGGGTAGCCGTTCCCTTCTCCAGGGGATCTTCCCAACCCCGGAATCAAACCCAGGTCTCCTGTATTGCAGTTGGATTCTTTACCATCTGAGCTATCAGGGAAGCTCAGAAGCATACTGGAGGATAGATCAAATAAGCAGATAGATTAAGGATAATGGAACTGATTTTCTCACTGTCAGAGGATGGCATATGAATATGTGAAGGAGGAAAACAAGCTCAAATCTTTTGGTGATGATTTGGAATTAGAGTTACTGGAACTTAAGAGTTTCAATAAATATAAATAAACATAAATGTAAATATTTATATATGTATATATCAATATACATTTATTCCCTAGCTCTGAGACAGCCTTGGAACAGCGTCCTCTCAGCCCTAAAGCAACAGGGGCTTCCCAGGTGGCGCTAGTGGTAAGGAACTTGCCTGCCAATGCAGAAGATGTAAGAGATGCGAGTTTGATCCCTGGGTGAGGAAGATCCCCTAGGGCATGGCAACCCACTCCAGTATTCTGGCCTGAAGACTTCCATGGACGGAAGAGTCTGGTGGGCTACAGTCTGTGGGGTTGCAAAGAGTCGGACATGACTGAGCAATGCAATGAGCACAATTGTACTCAGACCTTGGTTTCTAAATTCCTGTCAGCACTAAAGGGAGCCAGGACTCTCTGGAAAAAGGTCAGATTCCAGGGCTGGAGCAGGAGAAACATGAAATAAACCCAAAACATCTTTTTCTACCTGAAAGCAAGGAAGTGCTCAACAAATGGTGGAGACATGTAACATAAAGGACACAGAAGCCATCTTAAAGGGCTTTTACTGGTCAAACCTGGACAATTTGAGCACCAAAATAATGATAAAGCAGTCAATTATAACTCACTGGATAAAACAGGATACTATAATTCATACTGATATAAATTAATAAGTGAAAACTTAAAAGTTGTATGAGAAACAGTTTATTTGCATAGTTCGGAAGTAACTCCTCATAGAGGTACTTCGTTAGGGGTAAAGACTAACTTCACAATGGAGGAGCCTGGCAGACACAACCTAACAAAATGATCAAAGTGAATATCACTGGCAGCAGGAAGTATCAAAAACAAAACCCTGCATCACCCAAGAGAATTCAGTGAGGAGAGCATGCCATCACTCGTGTGGTATTCCTACCAAAGATGCGTAACCTAACCCAGCCACAAGGAAACACCAAATAAATCAAAATCTAGACTTGTTTAAAAACTGGGGATAGATCGATACATAGATATTTAAATAAATCAAAATCCAGATTTACTTAAAAACTGAGAATAGATAGATATATAGATATTTAAAGAAATAACTAAAAACTTCAGAAATAGAAATTCTTGAATGTGCATACTATAGAATGTAAATTAGGATAGCCACTATGGAAAATAATATGGAAGTTCACCCAAAATTAAAAATACAACTAATGTGTGTGTGTGTGTGTGTGTGTGTACATGCACACTCAGTCATGTCTGACTCTTTGTGACCCCTTGGACTATAGCCTGCCAGTCTCCCCTGTCCATGGAATTTCTAGGCAAGAATAATAGAGTGGGTTACCATTTCCTACTACAGAGGCTTTTCCCAACCCAGGGATCGAACCCACTTCTCACGCATGTCCTGTATTGGCAGGCAGATTCTTTACCACTGCACCACCTAAGAAGTCTTATAACTACCATATGATCCAGCAATTCCACTTGTAGGCATTTATCCAAAGAAAATGAAAACACCAATTTGAAAAGATATATACACTGCCATGTTTACTGCAGCATTATTTATACTAGTCAAGATATGGAAATAACCTTAGTGTCCATTAGTGGATAAATGGGTAAAGAAAATGTGATACATATGCACAATGCAGTATTATTTATCCATGAAAAAGAAGGAGAACTTGCCACTTGTGACAATATGAATGGACTCTGAGGACATTACACTAAGTGATATAAGTCAGAGGAAGACAAATACCATATGAACTCACTTGTATGTGGAATTAAAAACAAACAAAAAAACCAAGCTTGCAGATATGAATAGATTAGTGGTTGCCAGAGGCAAGTGAATGAAATGGATGAAGGGGGTCAAAAGTAAAAAATTCTACCTCCAGTTATAAATAAGTCAAAAGGATGTAATAATGAACATCATGTGACTATATTTATAATACTGTATTACATATTTGAAAGTAGCTAAGAGAGTATATCGGAGAAGGCAATGGCACCCCACTCCAGTACTCTTGCCTGGAAAATCCCATGGACGGAGAAGCCTGGTGGGCTGCAGTCCATGGGGTCAATAAGAGTCAGATACGACTGAGCGACTTCACTTTTACTTTTCACTTTCATGCATTGGAAAAGGAAATGGCAACCCACTCCAGTGTTCTTGCCTGGAGAATCCCAGGGATGGGGGAGCCTGGTGGGCTGCCGTCTATGGGGTCACACAGAGTCGGACACGACTGAAGTGACTTAGCAGCAGCAGCAGCAAAAGAGTATATATTAAAAGTTCTCAAGAAAAAAAGATTTTGTAACTATGTATACTAATGAGTGTAAACTGGACTTATTGTGGTGATCATGTCACAAAATACACAAATGTCAAATCATTATGTTGTGTGTTGTAACAAATGATTTATGTCACTTATACTTCAATTTTAAATAAAATAAAAACCTTGTAAAGAAAAAAGGTATATACTATGTGCCAGAAAAAATGACAGAAAGTAGTCACCATTTGGCCATTGCATAGTAAGTAAGAAGAAAAAAAGAATCCTTTAAGCATCTAAGCAAAAATGTAAAATCATTTATTAGAGAGTTTAACAGTCAAACTCTTTTTGGAAGAAAAGAGAAAAAATAGCAACCCTAAGTATTCTGACAGTACAGTGTTCAGAGTGAGAAATATGCCATAAACTCTCAGGTAGTGAAGATCAAAGAAGGTGCCATGAAAAAGCAGAGGAAAATACCTAAAACGTCAGGGAAGCAGACTCTGAAGACCTCTTAGCCTGGGGCACAAAAATAGGTGATTCTCAAAAGCTTACCAGAAAATTGCTGCAATTTTTAAGAATCTTTGAGAACGCTCCCACAAACTGTCTCAGTATTCAGCAGCAAAGCATAAATTTCTCATTCTACCGAAGAGGTAACTGTGAATGTCGGATCCATTTAGGTCTCTGGCCAGCAGCTACTTCTGAAGAATAATGATCTCTACTTTCAAATAGTCCAAATTTCACTAGCAGTCCTGTCTTTTGCAAACTCAAATCTGAAGCTTTTGGGCTTTCCCAGTGGCTTAGCAGCAAAGAATCTGCCAGCAGTGTAGGAGATGCTGTCGGGAAGATCCCCTGGAGGAGGAAATGGCAACCCACTCCAGTATTCCTGCTGGGAAAATCCCATGGACAGAGAAGCCTGGTGGGCTGCAGTCCATGGGTTGCAAGGAGTCAGACATGACTGATATACTTATGTGATAGAAATGCCATACTGGCAACTGACAATCCTGCAGAGAGGAGAAAAATCCAGACCAGTCTCAAACTTTTCTACAATAACAGTAAAACCTAAGGGTCAGTGGAGTGATGTCTACATTGTCCTTAATACAAGTGTCAACCAAGAATTTGTATAGAGCCCAAACTTTCATGTATAAGCAAATAGACATATACTGTGGAAACATGCAGTAACTTGTGGTATATAGTTCTCATAAGCACTTCAATAAACTACTAGAGAATGGCTTTCACCGAAAAAGATAAACAGTAAAGCAAAACACTGCACTGAAAGAACTATCCTCAAGCACTGAATCTTAATTGATAGACAAAGATTAAAACAAACCTGAAGGTTATAATATGAGGAGTGATTTCTAAATTTTCCTCTAAGATTTGCATCATTGCAAGACAAAGCCCTGGTTGACATTAAGGTATCTATGGGTGAAACTGCATTTATCCTTCTAGCCTCCTTCCTAGTTGAATCTGGGAGTGATTGTTTGAACTTCTCTGCCCAAATGAGCAAAGGAATAGAAATTTATTTCCTGAAACATATTGTGATAGCATTGGTCTAGATAGCAAAAACAAGGAGTACTGGGCTCTATAGCTAACCTTGCCATCTATGAGATGAAGAGCAACCAAAAGCTTCTGAAAATAAGAATTAAATGAGGAAAATGAATAGATTCAGAGGACTAATTTTGAATGATCTTGGGCAAGTGTGGGGAGAAGAGAGATTAAAAATAAGCTAACACAATATTAAGCTAACTGTACTTCATTTTTTAAAAAGGATGTGATGGAATTCTAGAATGTTGAAGCTGGAACAATCTTTGGAAAGCAGAAGTGAAGGTGTTCATATAAGTTAACAGCATGATTAAGAAACAGAATAAGTACTGGAATCCATACCTCTTCTTCCTATACTTCCACGCTTTCTCTAGCAGACCAGGAGAATCTGCTGAAAGAAATATGTTGTACCTTACAATTGGCTACTGGTTGAAGGGGGGACATTAAAGATGAAGGTGTGAAAACTAGAAGAATAACATTATTATTGTTGGGGAAAGTATCTTATATTCTAGAAAAAGAAGAAATTTTATATAATTATTTGTGAATTTTCTTTTTCTTTCTAGGCAATGCAGATCGTGACCAAGCCATATGTATGTATTGTTGTCCTTTATTTCTTGAACGATTTAACTACTTCATGTGTAATCCAGCTTTCAATTACTTCTTTATTTACAGATTACCGATATTGGTATCCAAGATGGGAAGTACCCCGGCCAATTGTGTGTGATCCGCTATGCTTATTGGTTTTATTTGTGAGAGTGCTGTGCTTTTCAGTCAGTACATGTATTTTGTAATAAGCACTATAAACCAAGTTCTTGCACACTAAGAACAAATAAAGACATGACGACAGAAATACTAAACAAAGATTTGACCAGTCTAGTTAATCTTAAGCTTTCACTATATTATTCTGATAAAAGATGATATTTCTACTTTCTAAATATGTTTCTGTCTCTGTGTTTTAAATATTTTTTAAGTGGGTTAAGAAATTTCTCAAGTATTAAACAAGATTATACATGTAATGGGTTTAGGACCATTCCAAGTTCAGGACAACCATTTGATAACTTTTGATTTTGTTGTTTTTATCACTCCTATCATAATTATTACTCATGGTAGTGATGATGGTGGTGATACTTTCCATGTGTTATCAAGACTTCTAATACCATTATTTATCTTTGTAGTATATGTGTTTAGAATGGTGTAAGTGGTATTTGTACATGCTGTTAGCACACAACTTTACTATTTCTACTTCATGCTCAGTATTTCAAAAGCTTTACTGTAATTCTTTACTAGACTATATAATTTGTTGACACCAAGGGCTAATAAATGTCAAAAGTTTAATTAGTTGTAACAGAGCAATCTTGCTGCTTCCAAATTTGTGTTAAAAATAAAATAATTTTTGTAATAGTTATCTACTTATTATATATAGTAAAAGTTCATAAGTTAGTAATATCAATTAATTACTTACCACTTGTAGTACTAATAAATGAACTGAGTAAAAATACCTAACATAAGCAAAATATATCAAATGGTGTAAACTTTTTACTTACTAACTGTATTATATTAAAAGTGAAAGTGAAAGTTGCTCAGTCATGTCCCACTCTTTGTGACCCCACAGACTATACAGTCCATGGGATTCTCCAGGCCAGGATAGTGGAGTGCGTACCCTTTCCCTTCTCCAGGGGATCTTCCCAACCCAGGAATCAAACACATATATCCAACATTGCAGGCAGATTCTTTACCAGCTGAGCCACAAGGGAAGCCCATTATATTAAAAACCTGTTCTTAAATGGGACTTGAGAATTATACAAAAAAGCAATGAATTTGCTTATTGTATTTAATAGTTTGTATTTGGTAGTTTCTGCTTTTTCACTTATTTCTTTTCACTTGCTTTGTTTTGTTATATAAGAATTCAGCATTATGTACTCAGATGTATAGAACAGACTTGTGGACTCTGGGAGAAGGCGAGGGTGGGATGTTTCAAGAGAACAGCATCGAAACATGTATATTATCTAGGGTGAAACAGATCACCAGCCCAGGTTGG